TTGATATATCGAGATATCTATCTGTTGATATATCGAGATATCTATCTGTTGATATATCGAGATATCTATCTGTTGATATATCGAGATATCTATCTGTTGATATATCGAGATATCGAGATAGTATTAGTCCAGTGGGAATTTAAGATAGACAGGATGGGTGGTGTGGAAAATCAAAAGTATGTATCCTGTATCTTTGGGCCAAATTCTAATACATGGTTGGTGTAGTTTTCTACTAGATCTTGTCTCCAACTTGTATCAACATGAGTTTAAAAATTGTTTGAGCGTGACGTTATTTTGAGACCGTTGAAGGAAAAGTAGATCGTCTTGCCACTTAAAACACTCGGAAGAGAACAAATCGCCAACTTGAGCATGCCGAGATAAGAGACAAGTTAAAGAATTTCTGTTGTTCATGTCTTTGTTGACGCTGCGCTCTAAGGTGCTGAAGTTTATATACTGTATGATTTGGGGGGATAAAGAGAAGCACATACAATTTTTTGAGAGAGATTTTGAGCAGTGCTGTATTACACCTTTCTTCGATCAGTTTCTTGCTTCTTTTGATAAGTTTCTGTAGCCTTTACTCTCCCTCAAGTTTCTGTAGCCTTTACTCTCCCTCAAGTAGGTTTTCACACCTTGTTCATCCCAAAGGTGAAACCACCAGGTGTACAATGGCTCCTTTAACACCCTCCCCTTCCCTGGCCTTTTTCAGCCCCCATTTCCATCCCGAGCTGTTGGTTGCTGAGGCTGTACAAGCCGCTCTACGTCCACTGCCACCCTCTCATTCAAACACAAAGGGAGCATTTACCAGTGCATTCTGGTGACCTTCAGAGGGCAATGTTGTTATAGCTGCGTGCTCCCTGCTGTATCACAGGGGTACCTCTCTGTATCAGCGTGTCATTACACTCAGTCAGGTGTCGGGCTGAATTTAGGGTATGCCGACATGGGCTACAGCCCAAAACTCACACCTGTTTTTCGGTTTTTTTAGTGCTGAAATGCACATGACTAACTTTTTTGTGTCTAATCACAGATTCTGTCGCGAGTGCAGATATGATGTTTAATAAACAAGGGAAAGAACTGAATGTGTTTTTGCAGGTCTCACCAGAACATTGTGTCCTGTAGTGAACCTTAAATCTAGATTTCACCCCATTGTGACAGAGATAGCACTATAAACTGCTTAGCTACGACTGTCCACTTTGTTTGCAGTATGACTCCGTGCCATTGTTTCATGTCATACGCTGCTCTCTCTGTGAATGGAGATTGTTCTGTATCTGACTGCACAGTACCTGAACGTTTCATTGAGATTACATATCACCAGCTGCCTAAACACTGAAAGACGATAAGTCATCTGAAAAATATGGACTGTAATAAGATTGCAAGGCTTGACGGAAAAACAGGTTACACAGGAATTTTTCAAAGTTCACTGCTGATGTCTCATGGCTCTTGCGTGATAGTTTAGATCCCTGCACGTTTTTATTCTTGTTAGACTCGTGCCTCCAGGTTTTTACACGCTTGCTGTTGCCTGTGTTACATAAATAAAGCAGAGAAGACAAACAAAAGTTAAACACTGATTTCATTTTATGCAAAACATTTCAACCAGATAGCGTAGCTGGTTAAAGAGTCGTAACAGCAAGGAACACCAAGGGGAAAATACCAACTCAACTTCACATTTTGATCATTTAAAAGGATAAATAAAAATGTGGCATGCTCTTAAATATTTCCAAAATACTTCTTAAATTAAAAGTTGTTACTGATCTCTTGTAGGTGTTGTTTTGATGGAGATTGCTGAAGTGCACCGGAAGGTCCACAACGAACTAGAGGAGAATGTAAGTAGTTCTAAAGTATGTTTTAACCCTTTTTTATTACCTCACCAAATTTATGGCTATGAAGTAGAGATAGACTGATTGGCTGATATCAGCCACTTGTCATGTCATGCCTTGTTACTTATTCAGTTACCAAGGAGAAAAATGTAAATACAGTGTATCCAGAAAGTATTCAGCGTTTCACTTTTTCCACATTTTGTTATGTTATGGGGAGTGATGACGTAGAAGTTAGAGAAGATGTGCCTGTGATCGTAAAGTCGCAGGTTCAAATCCCGTTACCGTCAACATCAAAATGTGGGTGGAAAAGGTGAAACACCCACACCTGCCTCCACCCTCATTTGCCCATCTCTGGGCCCCTGAGAAAGACCCTTAACCCCCACCATCTGCTCCCAAAAAACAGGTCTCTCTTGAAAATGAGTTCTTGTGACTCAATGAGACTACCTGTATAAAGGGTACATTTTAAAAAATAAAATAAAATAAAATACAGCCTTATTCCAAATTGTAATAAATGTATATCTTTCCTCAAAATTCTACACACAACACGCCATTATCACAATGTCAAAAGTTTTTTTCTTTCTTTTTTTTGATTTTTGCCATTTTATTAAGAATAAAAACTGAAAAATCTAATTTACATATGTATCCTGATACATGCTCAATAATCCAGGTATAACTATATATAAAATAAAAATAGTCAGGTCCTCTGGACAGAGGCTTCTTGAAACATTTTGTATTTTATCCAAAAGACTTCATCAGTATAAGGAGCTGCAATAAACTCAGTCTTATAAATAAAGTATTACCTCGTTTATTGTGAGAGATCCGTACCCTGAAGACCCGCGATAAGTGAAAAACCACAAAGTAGGAATAGTAGTACAAGTAGTAAGTAGTAGTTTATTTTGGTGTTGGAGTGGAGATCGGAAGAACTTTATTTAGGTATATATAAATGTATATATATATATATATATATATATATATATATATATATATATATATAATATAAAGGCATTTTAAACCCTTCCCCCACTCTTGCACTATTCTAAACAATGTTTCTAAACACTCTAAAAGAACACAGAATGTCATGATTTCAACTCTTTGCCACCTGGAAGAGCTCTTGGCCACGCCCACTTCTCTGCTCTGCACGGTGAACAGCTGATCAGCTGCAACAGGAAGTTAATCCTGCAGTTGGGTCTGCACAAATATGCAGCAGGTGCTAAATAATTTAAAATAATTTATTTTAAATAAAAAATTCCACTCAGATTGTGAAGCTCATCTATCAATCAGCCAGTTGTGTGTCATGTCCAATCTTACTTTGAAAAACCATGATAGAGTGAGTCCGCGATAAACAAACCACGAAGTAGTGAGGGACTACTGTAGCACAATCTCATAGTGGACCAACCAGTTTGCTGGTGACATCCAGAACTCGCATGATAAAGGAGGACCATCAGCCTAACTGGTTGTTAGTTCCCTGAAGGCCACTTGCTTTTCACACGGGCTGAGGATACTAGCAATAACAGCATTGTAAGAGGGGGACAGTTGAACATGGAGGCCTCCACCCCTGTTTAATGATGGACGATTTCGTTTGATCTTAATTCATGGATCCACTATGTGGAGTTGTTTTTTAAAAGGCTGAGTTTATTGCAGCTCCTCAGACTGAAGAAGTCTTTTGGATAAAACATGAAACGTTTCAACAAGAAGAATCCGTCCAGAGGATCTGACTTTACTTTTTTAGATATAGTAAAGAGACTTTACTTTGTGTGTAGTATAAGGCTACTAAATATATCATGAATCTCTCGCTGTCACAACGTCAGTGTTAAATATCAGTGTTGCACAGAAGTGCTTGGGCTGCAATAAATCACTGGCTATTATGTATTAAGTGCCTTTTATATGTGAATAATGTAAATGACGAATCAGATGGACTTTGGCTGTTAAAGATGTGATGACACAAGAAAAAAGTGAGAAAAATGTGGGTTTATCACAACTAATCATATCATTGAAATATTCTGGGATAGTACTGTGCAGGCCTAGAACAGAATCAGTGCCAACATTACTGAAGCAGGAGACGAACAAAAAGAGGGTGTCTGGTGTTTAGCACAGAAACACAGAGCTTTGTTTTCTCCAGTGTTGGATTGAGACATAAAACTGGACCCCTAACAAAGTTATACGATCTTTATACGGATACACATCAGTCTACCATTATGAGCTGGACAAATCTAATATCAGGGCTTGCAGAAAAATTCCTAAACTGTGAGAAAGCAAATCTAAGATAAATATTAATCTGTTACAAGTTTTTTTTTTCTTCCAGAAAAAAACTATGAATGGAAAACTTGAATGTTTATGAAACATTCACACTGTTGTGATCTATTTTTCTTCCGTATGTTTTTTTGGCACGATTCTCATCCCACAGTTTTCTGTCTACGTCAACAAATCATAAATCAAAACGTTCAGCTCTTTCAGGACAATCCTGCAATTACTTTTGGTATTGGTGCTACTTTAGCTTTTTGAAATATTTAGCCTTTTCTTCCACATTTTTCCTCATAGAAAATGAATTGAGCTCATTTTACATCCTTCAAATGTTTAGATGTGTTTACAACCTTTTACTGCTCCTTTCATATTTTGTTCTGCTTCAGCTTCTTTCAGCTTCCTTGTGCAAATATAAACATTTTTTCAGCTACTTTCAGCTAATTTCAGCTGTTCTTTCAGCCGTTTTGTGCTCCTTTTAGATTTTCTGCTAACTACAACATTTTTGTGCTTCTTCTAACTTCTTTCTGCTAATTTTAGCTTGTTATGCTCCTTTCAGCTTATTTCTGAAAGTTTCAGCTTTTTCTGCTATTTTATCTACTATTTAGCTGTTTTATGCTCATTTTAGCTTTCTCCCAGCTAATTCCACACTTTTTGCACTCATTTAAAACTTTTTTCAGCCTAATTTGGCAAAAATGTGCTCTCTCCACCTCCTCCTGGTAATATAAGCTTCTTTCTGATTTTTTTAGCTGCTTTTCACATTTCACGTTTTTTTTTGTTGTTAATTTCAGCTTTTTATTCCAGATAATTTCCACTTTTTCATGCTCACTTCTGCTTCTTTCAGCCTAATTAGGCAAACATGTTCTTTCTGCTTTCTTATGCTAATTTAAGCTTGTTCTACCTTTTCAGTTTTTAGCTAATTTCAGCTGTTTTCAGATAAATTCAAGATGTTCATGGACATTTTTGCTACTTCAACCTAATTATTTATTTTAATTATTTATGGCAGTTTCAGCTTGTTATGCTCCTTTCAGCTTTTTTTCTGCTAGTTTTAGCATGTTCTGCTATTTTAGCTACTTTAGCTGTTTTTAATGCTAATTTTAGCCTTTTGAGCCAATTCGACTTTTTCTTAGCTAATTTCTGCTCTTTCTGCTTCCTTCTGGTAGTTTAAGCTTCTTTCTGCCTTTTCAGTTACTCCTCAGCTATTTTTTTTTTTTGCTAATTTCAGCCTTTTTTAAATTAATTTCCAATTCTTGTGCTAATTTATGCTTATTTAAACCTAATTCAGCAAAAAAGTTTTTTTTCTGCTCTCCTTCTAATTTAGGCTCGTTCTTTAATTTCAGCTACATTTCAGAATGTTTATTTTACGCTAGTTTCAGCAGTTTTTCAGCAAGTTCTTCAGCAATAAGCACTGCATTTTCACAGTAAATGCAATTTATCTAATTCCTTTTGTCTTATTTTACGATGTTGCAACGAGTGACAAACGTTAGTGAAAACGTTGTATCCTGTCATTCTGCTTCAAGGTAAAATGCTTCAGAAGACTTGTGACAAGTTCAGTTTAGATGCAGTGTAGATTTGAAATATGGCAGCAGCTCATAACTCGTTACATAATTTGTGCAAAAATGTTTGAATAAAACTCAGTATTCTGAAGATGTTGGTAAGTTATCTGTGTGATGTGAAGTTTCTAAATCTTTAACCTCAACAATCTAATAAACCAGCTGTGGTTGGTGGACCTTCATCCTCTCAGAAACTCATTGGCATGCATCTGTTTCATTTAGCCACGTGTCTGAACTCTTTATTGTCATGACATATTTCTTGGATTTTAATGAACATTTCTTTTTCTTCTGTAGTTAAAGAGATTCCACAAAGAGGTTATTGTTGAGCTGGAGAAGAAGACGGACATGGACGTGAAGTACATGACTGTAAGTGGCATAATTTCAGCACCTCGCCCTTGATGAATGTTTATTCCTCGTGCCTTTCATGTCGAACGCTCGTCCACAGGCCACCTTCAAGCGATATCAAACGGAGCACAAGCTGAAGCAGGACTCGCTGGAGCGCTCTCATGCAGACCTGAAGAAAATCAGGAGGAAAAGCCAAGCGAAGCACTCGTCCAAGTATGAAATCAAGGAGAACGAGGTAAGACTGAAACCAAGCCGACTTCTACATCTTTCATAAACGCCATCAACATTTTGGATGGCTTTTGGTTCACTCTGGCACCTGCACAATAAATATGACAGGTGAGTAGTTTGAGGACGAGATGTGTCCCCTGATGTTCACTCACAAATCCATCAAACATGTGCAGATAGTTTTTATGAAGATATCTCGTGGCTCTTAAATTCCAAGCTAGCATTCCAAGTTGTGTTTTAATATTACTCGAGGGAATCATTGCTGACAGATGTTTGGAAACCCTTCAAGAGCATTCAGTTCATTACCTCAAAAGGTATGAAACCTACGATTCTGAAGCAGTTTGCAAATACAGCCGTACATTTTTACCACCATTGTGGAATACGTCGGCTTGTGTGGCTACAAACTATTTTTACTGACGTTACACAAAATAATGAACATAAACATGGCATGAAAACAACTAGAGAGCAACTTTAGTCCTCTTAGAAGCAAAGGTGAATTGGTTGTAGCTAAAATGTTCCATAAAATCAAAACTGTCTTTCATTTTGAGAAAGCTAAATCTAGTTTAACTCTTCAGAAACAACTTTATCAAATCTACTGGAACACCTTTTTGAAATAAAGACAGACTTGGATCAGGCTCTGGACCAGTTTCTAAAAAGTTGTTAATCATCAGTTTGGATTTTAGACCTGGACGTTCAGGACTGTGGTCTTGGATGTTTATGTTCTCAAGGAGACCTCCAGTAAAGGAGTCAAAATACAGTTTAAGGCTTTAGAACTAGTTCAACTCAGTTGAGAAGAGTTCAAGTCTGCTGCAACTATTCTGAGGAAAAAAAAACTGTTGTTGCACAAACCTTTATTTTTAACCTTTGTCAAAAAAATCAAATGAGATGCTGACCTCTGACCTCTGAGGAAAATGAGAGCCCCTGCAGCTGTTTTGAGACATTTTAAAGATTTCTTCTTTAAAGATGCTTTTTGTTAAATAATCACCACCAGTCACAGCTCAGTGAGATACAGACTTTAGTCTTGGCTGAGCTGATTACAAGACAAACATCAGACGTGACACCTAGTTGATTCTGAGAAGACAAAAATAGACTTAAATAGGTTTTGTAGATTGAGGCAGATGGCTGCTCATCCTGAGCCTGTTTCTTTCTGTTTAAAGGAAGTCATTCCTTTCTACTGTCGCCTTCTGCTTCAGGATGAGGGACTGCATCAAACTAAAGATTGTATGTAATCTGCTGGTTTTCATAGAAAGACGACTTTTTCTTAATTGTTTTTTTATTTTTATTAATCTGTTTGTTCTGTCGGGCGTAGCCCCTAATTTAGCCGGGTTAAGTGCACCAACATTAATGAGAACCCTATAAATCAAGGCCATTATGATAGCTGTCTTAAATTTTATGATTCTATTATTAACGTATGACTACTGCCTTTATTATTTGTAACACTTATGGTGAAAAATAGCAATATATATATTTATTTTTCATTTGATTTCTGAAGCTAATTTGAAGACCTCACTCACTGTGGGCTCCTCAACACATCTTTAGGGATTATTTTCTTCTTACTGTCAGGTTTGATCTCTTTGTGGCTGATCTTAAAACATCTGTATCTAAACTAACTGTATATATTTTTTAATGAATATAGTACAATAACCCTTCACACAACTTGGTTTAGTCTTTGTTTTAATTCTAAACCCAAGTACATTAATGACATCAGTGATAAACAGGAGGGGGTCACGTCTTGATCGTTTAGAAATGTCTACTTTTGAACGTTCCTTTTTTCCACAACTATTGATTAAATCTCTCAAAGCCATATTGCAGCTTGTGTAACATCTCTGCAGTGTTCTTTAAAACTGTCGTGCGTGACTTTTTACAAGCAGACGTAGCTGATCAGAAATGTGCACTCATGAGACGTAATCCCAGAAATCAAATTGCTAACATATCTGTGTCACTACTTGGAGAGCAAAGGTACACAAACCCACTTTTAAAGCTTTCCATGATGACATTTGTACAGTTGGCTGGGTTTGTGTTCGGTGCTCCTTATAATATTGGTTAAGGCATCTGTTGCACTTTTTATGATGTTTACGTTTATGAACAAGGATTTGCTTTCTAGGTTCAGTATTGTGAGAGAAAGGAGGGACTGGGAAGCCTCCTGTTTTCATTTATTGACTTTTCACAGCCTCTCTGTGGTGCGATGAAGGATTGTTTAGAGAGAATTACACAAATCCTTTAAGTTAAAGGTCAAGAAGTGTTCATGTTTGCAAGCTGCATGCGGGTGTCTAGATATCTCTGTATAAAATGTTTTTATTTCTCCCAATCAAAAACACTTTTTTTACATTCCTCTGTACACGTGGCACCGTCGTATAAGTCACATCAGTCCAAATATGTCTAATAAAGTGGAAAAAAAGCATAAATATGTTGCTTTGCCATATAAGTCACATCTATTGCGCGTCATTGCTGACACATCGCATTTGTTATGCCTCACTGCTTACCACCTGGAAATGTGGTCCGGTGTTGTGTCAAAAATCGATTGGCTGCCAAATGGCGGCTGCAGGAGCGTGCACGGGATGACTTTAACAAGAACTTAACAAGATTAACACTTAAAAACAATTATTTATTTCTTGAAATTATAGCAAAAGTGTGTCTCAGTCTAACTTTTCCTTAATGAACGCACTTTGACGGTCAAATCAGCTGCATTTTCAAAGCCAATTCGTGGCTGCGGGAGCACGTAGAGGGAGTACTCGCTGTGCATTTCTTCTAACTTTAACAAGATAACTATCGAAAAACAATTATATGCAGCTAATTTCACTTTTGCCCCAGGAGTTCCGGAGCAAGACGAAGGTTTATGGCAAGCCAAGTGTCTCATTAATAGCCACTTTTACCTATTAATGAGACACTTGGCTTGCCATAGTACTCATGTGCCCTCTAGTGACTGAAAATGGTAGTGTTCAATATTTTCCTGGTCAGAATTAGTGAAAACAGTCAGATGTCAGTCAAAAATTGGGTTATAAATATGGAGAAAAAACATAAATACGTCACTTTGCTGTATAAGTCGCAGGGCATGCAAATTTATACAAAAAGCTGTGAGTTATACGGCAAAAACTACAGTAGATTTCTTATCAGGGGTGGAGATTTATAACCTGATTTAGTTTTCCAGGCCAGGCTGAAACCAAAACCTTACCTTTCTCAGACTTTTTCACCATGATCTGATAAAAAATGACACCGTTGGACTACAAGCTGCTTTCGGATAATCATGTGTGGGGTTTGAGTAAACTGCCAGTAATAAGCCTCTCTGTGTCCTCTTCACCCCTGGCTGAGCGTTTGGGTTGTTGTTCGTAATGAAAGTGGGAAATATAGAGACTCGATTCTGCATCGGAGAAAATGAGACCAGCCGGATGGTGCGGGTCTTTCACGGAGCGCTTGGAGACCAGCTGCTTTTGTGTTACCATAGCAACCTGGGGGAAATTGAGTAGATGTGGGGCAGAAAGAAGAGAAATGGAGGAAAGGCTAAAGTATTTCTTTAAGTGTTTGGGGCTGCTTATGTCAGGTCTGCCGGTCCATCTGCACCATTAAAATCGGTTCTCAGTGGGGAAAGTGTCTTACACTGATTTACATTCCCACTAAACCAAGATTGATCCAGGAGCAGCGACGGATACGAACAAACTTCTCCTGACGTGCAGTGGCTGATTACAAAGCTCATCAGAGGCTCGACTTGCTAATTTAGACCAAATTAGTTTTTACTGGAAAAAGCTGTGGTAAGACGGTTACACACCCCCCCCCCCCACCCCCACCCCCCAGGTCTGTCAGGTTGTCAAAACAGCTGAGATGCAGTCAATAACAAACTGCAAGGGTTCACACCAATAAAGTCAAAGATCAAGTGCGTTTTTATTGAGGCTGATAAGAGCTGAGCTTTAATCATCAGCTGTTGAATACAGGGTTTCTGTATACAACAGCTGATGATTACGTTGGTGACCTAAACAGGCGTATACAACCAGCTCGATTATAACTTGACTTAATAAAAGAAAATAGACAAATATCGTTAGATGGTAAAAGTATGAAAACAGTCAACACTCAATTTAACTGAAATGAAAAAGACAAATTCTGAAAAGCCAAAGTAATTGCAGCATACATGCAAAGACATACTATTTTGAATTACACGGTATCCAAATGATGCACCGATTTTCTTGTAAAACTTCAGTTTCTCAGATTTATTTTACACTGTGTGCAATACCATAAAATCCATATCATATTGCTGTGCATCACATACGTTTCTGGCGTTGATCTCTTTGCTTTCCTCTTACCCTATCTGCAGTATATGGAGACCATCACGTCCCGGCAGATGGACATGCAGAAGTTCATTGCCGACGGCTGCAGAGAGGCCTTCCTGGAAGAAAAGAGACGCTTCTGTTTCCTGGCAGACAAACACTGCCTGTTCTCTTACCAGCTTAGTAATTTCCATGAAAAGGTAAGCAAGGACAGGCAAACATCCCGCTCAGCTACATTAAGGATCGTCTCTCTAACTCTTTCTTGTGTTTTCAGGCTAAAGACATCCTGAGCTCGAGGCTGCCCACCTGGCAAGAAAAATGCAGCGACATCAACAGAGTGCCTGACTCGATGGAGAGCTTGATAGAAGGTCTGTCCACCATCCCAGAACAATACCCGCCGGCCGAACAGTACAACAGGGTGAGTGGGTGTTCGTTACTGTCTGCTGCCATGAAACACAAGCAACCATGTACTTTCCTCTCTGTGGGTTTTTGTCTGTTAGTAAAACACCGTGGAGTCGTATAGCTGAAAAGAACCTCAAATTCTTACCAGCGCTAACATCTTTGTTTAAATTTGGACATGAGAGGCAGCAGGCGATATGCATTTCTTCAGGAAACAATAGTTTCTTTAGATTTGTATTACCCAAACAATAAAACATGTGATCTGAAGGAGGCATGACAGGATGCTCTGTTGTTAAATAGATTCTTAGGGGGGTGGCTGTGTCTGAGTGGTTAGAGCAGTCGTCCTCCAATGCGAGAATTGGGGGTTCAATTCCACCAGCAGTCACATGCTGAAGTGTCCCTTGGCAAGACACCTCATTGCCTCCAATGTGTGTCCCATCTGTGAATGAATGTTATCTAAAAGCACTGATTATTTTTTGTAAAGACATGGTAGAGTGCTGTATGAATGGGTAAATGAGGGCACAGATTGTAGTGTAAAGCACTTTGAGTATCTTGATAAGATCGAAAGGCGCTATATAGTGTAAGTACAGTCCATTTACCACTTACCATTTACTTTCTTTGTTTAGGACTAAAAAACTTTATCAAAAGAGGCTTAAGGTTCAGTTACATACTGTAGTGTTTAAGATCTGCTACACTGTGTATGCAACGAGGCACTAAGCTTCATAACTGGTTGTAACTACAGTACCCATCACTGCACTCTGTACTCATTGTTCAGTTGGTCATCATTGTCTACACGTAGGCTCTCACACTGGTTCATTTTCATCTTTAAATCACTTCTTGGTCTGCTACCATCATATATCTCCTCCTATGTGTCACGTCGTCGGTGCAGTTACGGCGTGCGCTCTCAGGGATTCATTACCTGCAGCGTTCCCTCAGTGCGAATTGAACTCGGCAAAAAGGCCTTTTCTTACTCTGCTCCTTCATCCTGGACCACCTTGCAACGCTTTTATCTCTTTAGCATCCCGTCTTCTTCTAACAACAGCTGAGGAGACGTTTTAGAGGTTTTTTTGGGGGGAATGTTGTCCTGTTCTTGTCTCACGTAAGAGTCTAGCTGGTCAAGAGTCTTGGGTCTTCTTTGCCGTGTTATTTGTTTCATGTTGCACCAGATGTTTTCTACTGATGAGAGGTCAGCACCTGGACTCAACATATGAAGCCAGTTGCTGTGATAGATAATGTGTTTAACATGATTTTTAAAAGGAAGTTCTCTGAATGCTGTTCTAAAAGCTCTATATATTGTACATCAGAGATGATTCTTGTGAGGTTTTACCTTGACTCTTGTCACTTGAAGTGATTAAACTGTACCTACTGTAGCAAGCAGTGAATTTTGTGTATGGTTGCAAAAAATCTACAGCTCTTTAGGAAATCATTAGCTGGCGATCAATCATTAAGATTCTGTGTATCCTATATTCTTATCCTAGTATTAAAGTCCACTTTAGTGTGCAGGAGGACATTTCTTCCACAATTATGACAGTATTAACTTACTTCTTCAATGGGGGCGCAACTTTTGCATCCAAGGGTATTTGTTAAATAAAATGTCCATCTATTAATTTTTGCAGCTTCATCAGAACATGGGATCAATGGCACCTCCTCCAGCACCTCCACTGAAGGCTCAGATCAGTCCGTTGGCCAATATGTTTAACCCCGAGCCCAGAGTTTCACTGACCACCTCCTCAGATCACAACTCAGGTACTCAAGCCAATTCTGAAGTACAAAATATATACATGTATAATTCCACACCTCTTTAATAAGGTGCATCATTCAGCCATGAGTCGGCAAACCTGAGTGAGGTGGCGGACATATTTCACAAGTCAAGTGTAAATTATTTTTATATTAACAGTTGTAAATGATGCTTCAAGCATCCTCAAAGGTCAAACTAATGTGAGTGGCACAATTACACATTATTCCATTTGGTAAACTCGTCTTTCTTCCAGATCAGGGCAGCGTTGCAGAGGACAGTTTGTCCAGATCCACGTCGCAGTCATCTGGTCTCAACGTGAGCAAGAAGCCCAGAGTCCGGACCATCTTTCCACACACGGCAGGCAACAACAACACGCTCCTCAGCTTCGATGATGGTGACATCATCACCCTGCTCATCCAGGAGGAGAAGGACGGGTGGCTGTATGGAGAGATGGAGAACACGCAGCAGTGAGTGTTTATATTCTGTTTATTGTGTGACTGAAGCATTCACACTATTGTCATCCATTTTTCTTCCGTACGTTTTTCAGCATCTTTCTCGTTCCACAATTTTTGCGCTATTTCAACAAATCATTTATCAAAACGTTCATCTTGTCCAGGAGAAGTGTGCTATGACTGTTGGTATTGGTGCAACTTTAGCTTTTTGACATATTTAGCCGTTTTCTGCTCCTTTCATATTCTTTCTGCTCACTACAACATTTTTGCGCTTCTTCTAACTTCTTTCTACTAATTTCAGCTTATGATGCTCCTTTCAGCTCATTTCTGCAAGTTTCAGATTTTTCTGCTATTTCACCTGTTTAATGCTAATTTCAACTTTTTCAGCTAATTCCACATTTTTTTGCACTCATTTCAACTTTTTTTCAGCCTAATTCAATACAAATTGCTCTCTCCACTTCCTTCTGGTAATTTCAACTTCTTTCTGCTTTTCTAGCTACTTTTCAGCTATCTTTTTGCTAATTTAAGCTTTTATTGATAATTTCCACTTTTTTGTGCTCATTTCTGATTCTTTCAGCGTAATTGGGCAAATGGGTTCTTTCTGCTTTCTTCTGCTACTTTAAACTTGTTGTACCTTTTGAGCATTTTTAAGCTAATTTCAGCTGTTTTCAGATAAATTCAAGATTTTTATGGTTACATTTGCTTCTTTCAGCCTAATTAACTTCTTTCTACTAATTTCAGCTTGTTATGCTCCTTTCAACTTATTTCTGCTAGTATTTTCTGCTAGTTTTAGCTACTATTTAGCTGTTTTATGCTATTTTAAGCTTTATCAGCTAACTCCATATTTTTAGCTCATTTTAGCTCTTTTCACTTATTTCTGGTAGTTTAAGCTTCTTTCTGCCTTTTCAGCTAGTTTTCAGCTTTTTGTTTCTTTTCTGTGCTTATTTCTGCTCATTTAAACCCAATTCAGCAAACATGCTCTTTCTGTTTTCTTCTGCTAATTTAGGCTTGTTCTTCCTTTTCAGCTAAAATTCAGCATGTTTTTAGCTAATTTCAGTTGGTTTCCAGCAATTCTTCAGCACTAAGCATTCACACCGCATTTTCACAGGAAGTGCAATTTCTGTAGTTTGACATAAGTTCTCTTATTTTATTGATTTGAATGTATATTTTCAACAAGTGATTTTTTTGTTAGAATCGATAACAGTGTCCTGATGCTGCTCAATAATCCAGGTAGATGAATCTAACATTGTTGAGTCAGGTCCTCTGGACGAATTCTTCTTTGTTGAAACGTTTTGTCTTTTATCCAATGAAGAAGTCTTTTGGCTAAAAGACAAAACATTTCCAGAATATTACAGATTTTGTATTTTTATTTTTTAACCAAAAAAAAAAAAGCACAATTTAGAAAAATATTTTTCCCAACAGCAGTTTGACTAAATGTCATACAAACAGTTTTCCACCCATAAGCCTCTTTTGTTAGAATAATATTTAACATTAACTTGTTCAAATGTCAATAAGACAAAACTAAATCTGATGAAATTATCCCAACTGTGGTGGGAGTATCATGGTTTGCAGAAGCAATACTTCAAGTTTAAATGCCTTTCGTCTGTGTTGGAAGGTTGAATTCTGAATCAGTATCAAATTATTTTACAGCAGAATGTGGGTTACTCATAGGGGTGTTGACATGGATCATTGGGGGGGGGGGGGGGGATGTCACCATAGCAATGGCCCAAAGCACACAAATGAAGCACTTCAGTAAAACAGGCATCCATGACGTCAACTCAACAGGCATGCTGTGTGTTTGAACATTCCAGAAATATTGATAACTAAAGCTATTTTGTTTGTAATATTGAGCAAAAACTCCTTCTTATCACTGAATGTCTCATAAGCAGCTCTGTGAAAAGTCTGATGTAGGGTGTTGGTCCTACTCCAGGTTTTAAAAGTTCAAGTTGTTTTTCCAGCCTGCACACAGAGTGGCCACTTACTGATTTAAAACGTATAAAAAGCGGACTGAGCCAGGCCATATATCGATATGAGACGTAAACAAAGCTGAAACCAGGAATTAGTCATTCCAAACCTCTTTGTCCAAGTGCACGCATGTTGACACACCCACAGATGGGGTGGGGGGTATTGTACTTTCATTCCAAGAAGTATGCAGTGGCAGTGACAAAAAAAAGCGTCGTTCACATAACTCAAGTGGCAGTACTAGTTTTGACCTTGTTATTTTTAATGTTTAGCTGCGTTAATGGATCGAGCCTAAGAAACCAGAGTATGTCAGGTATGTGGAACAAGACGGGGAAGCTTGTTCTTAAAAAAGCAGGACACACAGGCACAGACAAATCCAGGTATTCTCACAACAGCAAGTGCTTTAATTTTCACTGTCAATTAATTGTTCATTTTTTTCCTTACTTGATGCCTGAATATGAGTGAGAGGAATTAATTTGTTATAATTAAAATGCATTTTTTTTATGTCAGCAGTGATTTAACACTTCCTATGCAAAGGAGTGATAGATTTTTCCTTACACGATTTTTTTCCAGAATTAACGCTGCACTGTTATTTTTGTTGCGTGCTCGTTGTATTACTTTTGAAAATGTTTACGCGTGACTCTGCGTGTTTGTATGTCTTGCTGCAGCAGCTTAAGTCCTCAAGACAGCTGTAAAATTATGTGATAAATCCTCATCAAATCCTCTTCAGATCAGTTTGGACTCTTAATGCAACATCGTTTTTTACAGGAATGAACAAAGGGCTTTTAAGTGTCATTAGGTGGCTTTGTGTTTTACTAGTGTTAATGCAGACTGTGGAGGTTTTTGAAGAAGAGGACATGTTGGGATAAATCACAGTACTTTCTGTTTCCTAGCAACAAATCCACTCGTCTGATAAGCAATCGTTTTCTCCATACGTGACTTGGTGATCAAAATTTCTCTGTTTTGTGTCTTCGGTATGTGTCTTATTGAAGGGTTTTGTGTTCAGTGGGTGTTTTCTTCCACTTAAACAGACAAACGGTTGAGCAGCAGATGCCTGAAGTCTGAAATGTTTTTTGAAAATAGGTATATCATACTGACGAGACAATTTTTGTCATTTTATTATCAACATGGAACCAGTGCTACTGACATATGCTGATGTGCATCAACCAAGACAGATGAAAGTTGTTGTTTTTTAATCTGCTGGAGTTTATAAAATAATATCAGTTACATTTATTTTATTTATTATTTTTTTATGTGAACTTGTTTGTTCCATCCAATAAAGATTAAAAACAAAAACAACTGGACTTCTATTCTGTAGCTGAAGATGTTTCAAGTCTCATCCGAGCAGCTTTCTCAATTTAAAAACCGACTGAGGAGTTAGAGTTTTAAAGTTGAGGTGTTCTGTAAACTGGATTCATATGGAGGTTGTCCTCACTCTCTTCACAATAGAGGTTCGTTAGGGTCTTAGCTTGACTCACAGATGGGCCACTCTGGTCACATGAATGAAGGTCTTGACTGGAGTGAAACTGACTGGGTGTCACTGTTATGAGAACTCTACAGCATCGGGCTAAACACATCCCCACAAAGTCAAGTTGAGTCAAGTCATATTTATTTATATAGCACATTTAAAACAGGAACTGTTACCAAAGTGCTTAACAAAAAGATCACAGCATCAAATAAAAAAAATAACAAGATGTCATTACAGCATCAGGATTAAAAACATAACACAAACACAATCAGAAACAATGAACTACTAAATCAGATCCTACTGTGTTAAACGTCAGTGAGTACAGGTGTGTTTTCAGGAGGGGATTTAAAAGCAGAGACTGAAGTGGCCTGTCTAATGTTGGGGGGCAGATTGTTCCAAAGTTTAGGGCCAATGACTGAAAAAGCCCAATATCCTCTGAGCTTCAACCTGGTTTTTGGTACAACCGAAAGCAGCTGGTCAGATGATCTCAGAGTCCGAGAAGGAATATAAAGATGAAGAAGGTCGGAGAGGTATGAGAGTGCAAGGCCATTAATGCACGTCAACACGAGAATCTTATAATCAATTCCGATACATACAGGGAGCCAGTGAAGGAAGGACAGAACCGGTGAAATGTGCTCAAACCTACGAGTTCCTGTTAAAAGCCGAGCTACAGCATTTTGGACGAGCTGGAGACATGAAAGGGAGACCTGACTGACCCCAACATAAAGCATGTTGCAGTAGTCCAGTCGAGTAGTAATAAAGGCATGGACTAGTTTTAGATCTGGTCAACACAGACTTAAGCATAGCTTCTGCTTCTTAACTGTAAAAAGCTATTTTGTAGAACAGAGTTAATCTGTTTATTAAACTTAAAGTCAGAGTCTAAAACCATCCTGAGATTTGTAACAGGCTGCTTTAGATATGGCTGAAGGGAGTCCAGGTTTACAGGATCAGAGACAGCTGTAGAGCTAGGGTTAAACACAATAACCTCAGTTTTCTGATCATTAAAACTTAAGAAGTTTGAAGCCATCCAAGTCTTGACATCATCAAGACATTTCAGCAAAGGGCGAATGGAGCAGGAACTGTTGGGTTTTAAGGGCAGATAAATCTGACAATCATCAGCAAAACAATGAAACAAAAGAAAATGTTTCCTCAGGATGGACCCCAAGGGGAGCAGACACAATTCATTCATCCATCCATCCATTATCCTTTACCTGCTTCTCCCATTTTGGGTCACGGGGGTCGCCGGTGCCCTTGTCCAGCAGTCACTGTGCGAGGGGAGGGGTACACCCTGGACAGGTTGCAAGTCCATCACAGGGACACATAGAGACAAACGAGACAAACCATTCACGCTCTCACTCGCACCTAGGGACAATTTAGAGTTACCAATCAGTCTAACATGCATGTTTTTGGTCTGTGGGAGGAAACTGGAGAGTACCTGCAGAAAATCCACGCATGCATGGAGAGAACATGCAAACTCCCCCCAGAAGGGCCCCCGGACCGGGATTTGAACCGGCAACCTTCTCGCTGAGAGGCAGCAGCTCTACCAGTTGTGCCACTGGGCTGTTCAGACACAATTCAATTCAATTCAGTTTATATAGCGCCAAGTCACAACAGATGAAAACAGAAGGGGTCAGAGAGTAGAGCCTTGCGGGACCCCACAGGAAAGGGGCACTGAAGTGGATAAACCAACATTAAAACAAAAACTCCTGTCACTCAAATACGAATGGAACCATTGTATCACTGCACCCGTAATCCCTACCCACTCTAACCGTGATGAAAGGATACTGCGGTCAACCGTGTCAAATGCATGAAGACAGAAGGGGAGGAAAAGGAGCAAAATTATATCAAAAAGTTCTCCAAACATGCAGATATTTTAATTGGGTTTTTGTCCAGTTAGGATAGTATGGCTTTTGGACTCTAATGAACCTCTGTTATGAGGAGTGTGAGGGCAATCTGCATGTGAATCCATCTTACAGAACACCTCTGCTTTAAAACCCTTGCTCACTCTACTTTTTGAATTGAGAAAGCTGCTTGGGTGAGAAGTGAAACGTCTTCAGCTACAGAATAGAAGTCCAATTGTTTTTGTTTTTAACTTTTTTTGGATTTACTATGTCCTGGATGACTGAGAATCTACACCAGCATAATGTTTGTGCCATAGTCTTAAGAGTTAGCCTGCAAGAAGATGGTTGTTTTAAACTATAAAACCTCCCTGAAGAGACGTTATTATAGCCAACTGCTAACTAATGCAGGTATTAACGTTTTGACCTGTGTATTTGTAGGTCTGTATGTTAGCAAAATATTTCATGAATCACAACAGATTTAGATGAATCGCTCAAATTATTGAATGTACATCTGTACCTGAAAATCTTTGAAAATCCGTCTAACTTAGGATGGCCACTACAGTTAACTGGCCTCAGCTGACACAGAAATGGCTACATCTCAGTTAACTTTAAATATATTAAGCTAAGATTAGGTGCAATAGTAGTTTAGAGTCATCCCCAACATATGCTTTAAGAGCTACCAAAACTTTTGTTTAAAACTTTGCCATAAATAAAAACTATTGGAGTCGACACTGTCTGTTTGCAAAATATATCATTTTTATTATTAGCATTTTTTTAACCAGTCAAATCCCTTTGAAATCACAGATCGCTTTTTAAGGCCGTCCTGGACCTGGAGGGAACCTAACGTGCATGTTTTGGTCTGTGGGAGAAAACTCATGCAAACATGAGGAGAACATGCAAACTCCACCCAGAAAGACTCCAGAGCCAAACAGTGGATTGAACTGAGAGCCTTTTGCTGTGAGGCTAACCACTAATCCATCATGCTACTCATAAACCACTTCATAGATTGTGGTAAAACTTTCAGAACGTTATCAGTAGATGTACATCTACAACTAATTAATTTTTGGAGTCAACTCATTTTAGGATGAACGCCAATGACCTTAGACAACAAAAATGACTATAATTCAGTCAAGCAGGTAGATATTGAACAAAAATGTGGTGAGGTAGTAGCTGAGTCATATATAACACATACTCTGAGTGCTAATTTATAAGGGATATTGAGATTACACCAAATGTTTTTAAAATTACATCAAAATGGTTATAGCTTTGTAATTTGTCAACACAAGATCATCTACAACACTCTCGCATTAAAGACTGTGAGCGATCTGCATTGTTTCAAAGAACGTTAAGCCTGTACTTCTTGCATTAATGGTCATATTTAAAGAACGAGGAACGATTTATACTTAAAACTGGTGCTGGATGTCTGATGTTGTGCAACTTTGTTTTCAGGCGTGGTTGGTTTCCTTCATCCTACTGCAGACCTTACACTGAGCCGGCCATATCCAATGGGTGAGAAAGCATTGCAACACACCAGGTGTGCGCAGCTGCCAAGGTGTAACATGCATGTTATATTTCTCAGCAGCAACATGAGCACACCGGTGAGGAGTTTGAGTGTGACCAGTCTGCAGGAGGAAGAGGAGGAGGAGGAGGATGGGGTTTATGAACCTGTTCTGCTTCCACCAGCAGACTACAGTGACTACACACCGTCTACCCCAGTGGTCTCAACACCTTCATCACAGAACACGGTCAGTGTTCGCCTTAGAATCTAGCTGTTTTTTTTTTGTTACCTTTTTCTTTTAGCCATCCTATTTGTTTAAAAAAAAGAAAAAAACACTGTAGTATGACTTTTTATAACTGTTTATTGTTGTCGCTGTTGTCATCATTCTTTGTTGAAACCAGGTCTCTTTTGTAAATGAGTCCTCGAGGCTCAATGGGATTTACCTGTATAAATAAAGGTTGAATGAAAAAACACGGTCAGTGCAGAGCTCCGTGAACGTGCTCTAAATCACTTTTTATCCATATCATTATTAAAATAGCATTTTTGAATAGATTTTTTAGCAACGTGAGCAATCACAAGTTTTTTTAAATCCTTTTTATGCTGATTGTCATGGTCTGACTTGGTTTTAAGCTGTTTTCTTTCTATTTTAAAAGACACGACAAGTTTTCTTTTGCATTAAAATATTGTAGCTAAAGTTAGAGGAAGCACAGGAAAATGAAAACCAGTCATTTGATCATCTGCTGTCTTGAATTTGTCTTACTGCGCTCCTCTTTGTCCTGTTAACAGTGAGCCTTCTGATCCAACCGTGACCTTCCCTCACACATGGCCTCCTCTGCTGAGCTGTGACTATTGGCCTGCAAAGGGCTTAGTCAACTTGAAAACTATATTAACACTAAATGAACTGCAGCCTTGTGTATTTAAAAAAAAAAAACTCCAAGTATTTTATTGAAACATTCAAAATCAAATGCCTGATATGTTTTTGGCGTAATATGTTTTGATGGACTGGAACCAGGAGGGCTGTCATTTATACTTCACCACAAATAGTTCACTTTCATTTCTGGAGTCTGGCTAATAAAAAAAGCTGTATATATGGAGTCATGACATGGTTTTAGTACTTTCTTCCTGGTTGCAACACTCCCATGTGATCGCCAAGATACAACTTCATCATTTACCCATTCTTGTTTAAAAAAGGCGTTTCCTGATAACCCATGTGCCCGAGCTAAGTCGTCACACACACACGCCCACTCCACAAAATGTCATCACACAGGCTGAACTTTTAGTCTGACTAATTAAGTCTTATCAAGAATGCCATGACACTTTGTCAGGCCTCCACGCCCTTAAATCACAGCGCACGAGGCACTCCTTAAGTACCGGTAGTTCATTATTTCCTTTTAAGAATGTGTGGGGCCTTTAAGATAATAAGTTTAACATCTACAGGAGCCTCTTTGCTGTTTTAACGGATCTGGGCACAAATGCAGCGTTGAGAGCACAAGTAGAAGAGAGCTCAAAATTAAACATTTTGTTTTTGTTCAATTTGACTGAAAATGGCCCAGCTAGTATAATAAGTACTACGCTACAGTAGGAGGTATAAAACAAAGGGTGGAGGAGCCACAGTTTATATATGTCCTTATGAAGGCTGATGAAATATCTGTCCCTCCTCACCTTCCTTGCTCCTCTGCATGTACTGTACTTTCTGCTTTGCACTCTGCTGCATCAGTGATTCTCCATGAAATAAACTGCAGTGGATGAAGAGAGATGTTACACCTTCAGCAAGACAAGGGACTGACTCTGCTCTGTTGTTATGACTGTGGAGTAAAGGTTTTTCACAGTTCTGGAGAATTTATTGTACATTATCTGACTTAATCCTCTTAAACAATTGAACTACTCTTTATATTCAAATAGATGTTTTATTGCCTGAAAGGATAGAAACTCATTAGGAAAACATTTCATCCTTTTGTCATAGATGTTCCTGATCACTGCAGTCATGTACTAGAACGGTGAATGAATCAGACATGAGATAAATGACAAATATGACAAATTCAAATGAATCAAAGTTGAACTTTATTAAATCTGGAAAACCTGGAAATACATCTTTTTAGGATTTGTTGTATAATTACTGCTGTGGCTTTTGATACTTATAATTTCAAAATGTTTAAACACTGTTTGGGTTCAAGAGACTTTTTTTCTTTTTTAATCAAAACAAGTTGAAAAATATAATTTCTAAGGCTACTTGAAAATGAACATAAATCAAAGCAATGATAAAAGAAGTTGTGAAAAAAGACTAAACTCCAGTCATTTTCATTAGTTAACGACATTCTTCTGTACCAATTTTATTTGAAATTATAGTGATTTTACTTATTTGTTTTATAATAATATATGTATTTTATACCTTTATCCTTTTCACTCTGTCCTCTGCATCATCTGTCTTCACTCCACTTCCTTGTCCACTCTAACTATACCCCATATCCATTTAAGGGATATATTTATCTCCTCACTGTCCCTCCTCTGGACACGTCCAAACCATCTCAGTCTGGCCTCTCTAACTTTATCTCCCATTTGTTCAACCTGTGCTGTACCTCTGATGATCTCATTCCTAATCTTATCCATCCTTGTCACTCCTAAGGAGAACCTCAACATCTTCATTTCTGTCACTTCCAGTTCTTTCTCCTGTCTTTTTGTTAATGCCACTGTCTCCAAACTGTACAAAGTTTGCTGCCACCGTTTTGTCACGAATCACTCCTGAAATGTTTTTAAATTAACTCCATGTTAACTGTTTTTTACCTCTTTACCACACTCTTTGTTTTCCTGGACAGTCAACCCGAAGTATTTTAAGTCCTGAGTCTTTGTGACATATGTTTCTTGTAGCCACATTGTTCCACCTTTGTAATGCTTGTGAGTGTGGACCTAAAACTAAACAAACGTACTTACTTACTCTGACTTGCACTCATGTACTCCATCTTTCTGACTTTCATTCCTCTTCTTTTATGTGCATACCTCCACTTCTCTAATTTCTTTTCCACCTGTTCTCTGTTCTCACACAAATCACAAGGTCATCTGCAAACATAGTCCACGGGTCATAGTCTGTCCATCACTAAAGCTAACAAGAAGGGGCTCAGAGCCGATACTTGATGCAGTCCCACCTCCAGCTTGAAGCTAGCACATCTCACCACTCTCCTCATACATGTCCTGCACCAATCTAACATACTTCTCTGCCATTCCAGAGTTCCTCATGCAACACCACACCTCTTCCCTCAGTACCTTGTCAAGTTGTTTATTCTAAATCCACAAAGACACAATGGAGTTCTTTCTGACCCTCTCTATTCTTCTCCATCAGCATCCTCAAAGCAAAGATGGCATCTATGGTGCCGTTTCTTGGCATGAAACCATACTGCTGCTCACAAATTGTTACCTGTCGTCTAAGTCTAGCTTCCCCAATTCTCTCCCAGATCTTCTTTGTGTGACTCATCAACTTTATAGTGCTGTTCAGGGTTACTAAAAAATAGCTCCCTAAGCACTACAGGTCCTTCTAAAAAAATTAGCATATTGTGATAAAGGTCATTATTTTCCATAATGTAA